GCACTAGGGAAGATATGTCAGTTTCATCGTGACAATATTGACTCAGCACAGGTGAGTCACTTTTGATTGTATAGTCTCAAAAAACCATTAGTCAGCTGAATCTATACGACTATACTTTGCAGTTGATATGCTATGAACCTCAGAGCCGTCACCCTCTTCCTGTTATGAATGTTATTTATAACTTTTATGACTATTTACTTCTGAGAAAATTCAAATGAACATTTACTTTAAATGCAATGAACATTAGAGCATGTTGTTTGAATTTTGAAGTCAAAACATGAAACTCTTGGAACTTGGAAGTTGTAGCTACAGAGCTGTTTTTTTTTTTTGTCAATGGTTTATTATTCTTTTGCCTCGGTAAATATATAACTAGAGCATGTTGTCATCATCTTTACATTTGAGTTAAAGATTTAGTATATAGATGTTTGTTTCCTTTTATATCCAACTGCTAATCTAGTACTACATGAATGTTTGCCATGATACTCTTCCTATAATTTGTTTGATCTCTTGTTTGTTTATGGTCAATCCATTGGATGAAAAGAACTGTAATGATGCACACTCTTAGTTAACATCTTTTATATTCAAGCCTCCACAGCTCCACACTGCTTCCTATTTTGAGAGATCCTTTTTCTGGACATATAGCTCTTTTTCCTTTAGTTGACCCATGCCCTGAGACATTGTAATCTTATACTCTCTTGATATTGTATTGCAATTTCTTTTGCCAGGTTGTTCCTGCTTGGTTGAACTGTTTGCCTATAAAAGGTGACTTGATTGAAGCCAAGGTTGTGCATGACCAACTTTGTTCAATGGTTGAAAGGTAAGAATATATCTATAGGTTGCTCAAGTCCTGATTGTCTTCATTGTGTGGGTCATTACATATAGATGTTCATTGTATGTGGTGTTATATGAAGGGATTTTGGGGTATGCGAAATGGTCAGATTATATATATATATATATATATATATAGGCCATTGTTCAGGTGAGTCCACCCCTCGCCTTCCCATGAGTCCGTGTGGACAGATCTGGGCCATTGAATGCTTGAGATCAATGGCTTAGATTTTGCCAATTGTGCACGGCAGCTGTGCAACTGAGCACTTCACTTGCACAGTTCACGATGCAAAATTGGTAAAATCTAAGCCATTGATCTCAAGCATTCAATGGCCCAGATCTGTCCACACGGACTCATGGGATACGGGTGGACTCATTTGATCATGAGTCTATATATATATATATATATATATATATATATATATTTTTTTTTTTCTAAGTAAAAGATTAATTACACTCAAAGATAAATAGAATTCACTTGCTATTTCAATTGCTATCTGCATGAACTTTCTTGTGATGTTTAGCCAACTGCATCATTTCTGTTTTAGCTCTTTAGTATAGCACTGTGACTTGTATGAACATAAATAAAACTTGTATATCATGTTTTTATTGTGGTCTTGATACAACACATTCTCCCCACCTCTTTATCTTTCTCCTAACAAAATTCTTCTCTGGCTTGCAGGTCAGATGGGGAGCTTTTGGGCCCTAACAATCAGTATCTTCCTAAAATTATTTCAGTTTTTGCTGAGGTTTGTTCTATACCTCTCAGATTTATGCAAGTAATTATTATAAGCTTTTAAATTTACTAATTTTAAACTCACAATTTGGGACCATAAATTGCAAAATCACTGTTCCTGTGCCCTGGGGTGTGGGGATGAGTGGGCTTGAAAGTGTCCATCAGAGAGTTACCCATGGGGCCGTTCTGGGCAAATTATTGTGTGGACCATGTTATGTGGACCATAACAAAAAGTACATTTTTAATATACTAAATGTACATTATTTTTGTACTGAATGTACGTTATACAATATAATGTAGACTCAGAACAAAAATAGTGTACATCCTCTGAATACAGTGTACATTATTTTTGTACTGAATGTACACTATTTTACAGTAGACAAAATATGGTCCATACAATAATGATTGGCCATTCTGAAGTGGCCTGTCAGAGAGCCACAAAACCTTGTGAATTATTCACAACTTCATAGTTAGGGAACCTTATAAAGTATGCAGTAATATTTTTTTTTTACTGCCATAAGCCATTTATTGATAGAACATTGTTTCTTCTGTAGATTTTATGTGCCGGTAAAGATCTTGCTACAGAGCAAACTGCGAGTCGGATGATTAATCTGTTGAGGCAGCTCCAGCAGACACTACCACCAGCCACTCTCGCTGCAACATGGTCAACCTTGCAGCCTCAACAACAAATTGCACTGCAATCCATTCTATCATCATAGATTTGTGGCTCGAATTCAAAAAGATGACGGCTCTTCCTCATGGCGATGAAGTTGCTGTGCCCACAGCCCTCGTGTGAATCATTACATTTGATACAAAAATTCTTTCTCATAAACATCATTCATTTCTGCATATTGCAACATCCTGGTGTTGGTTTGATCTTGAAAATATGGAAGCGAAGGTGGAAACCTTTTTTTCGTTTGTAGAATGTGTATATCAAAAGTTACTTTTGCTTAGCAAGGATGAGGATTGAAAATTGTGATTTTGTGGTATTGTTTATTTATATTATTTTAGCAAGTGCGAGGCTCAAGGGTTGTCAGGGAGGCAATTCTTGTCACAGTTTTGGTCATGTCTCATTGTCCTTTATATCATTGATGATGATTGTGAAAACAATGATTAAATTATAGAAATGGTGATATTCTTTGTTTGTTATCTTTCTGAAAGCTCCAATTATTGTGAATCAGATGAAATTTCCGAGTTCTATTTACGTTACTACTGTGAGATACTACATGTAATGTATTGCAGGAATGGTGGATCATTTGACTTGGAACATATATAGTATTTGATTTATATATTTACTTCTGATTGCATCTTTCAGGTTCAGATATCTCTCCAATTGCAGTGCCAATACCAATGAAGTGAAAGCTACCCTTCTCGTAAGGTATGGTGTTTTAAAATTCTTTTTTTGAATATTTTACTTGGTGATTGATGATGATATAGTTTTGGTGGCTTGAGAAAAGCATGCTTCAATAAGATTCTCTTGCACCTAATGTATAGTTGCTGCCAAATAAAATTATTCTTTTTTTAAATATAATTTATTTTTAGTTTAGCTAATTAAGGCCTGGTACCTCCAGGTGGCAGAGTTGTGGAGCACCATGATAGTGTGTGTGTGTATATATATATATATATATATGTATGTATATATAGAGAGAGAGGGGAAACACTTAGGTGTCGTTGTGTCTAAAAAAGGAAATAAGGGGTAATTTTAGAAGAAAACACCTATTTTCCTTTTGTTTACAACCATTTGGTATAATCAAAATATTATTATTATTATTTTTCATTTATGATAGAGACTAAAGATTGCGAAACTGAAGTATTTTCCTATATATATTATATATTTTATATATAATTCTTTTTAGAGATACAATTGAAGCATGTGTTTCATCCCAACTAAAAATCTAAGCTGATAGTTGGATTGTACATTTATGTTTATATATATTATATATATATATGCTCAACAGATACAAAGAGAAAAAATTGAAGGCTGGCCTTGATGGTTGCAAGTACCTAGTTTTTATAGTTGACCAAGTGAGGGTTGTACAAATGTCATGCACCCATGCCTAGTCATAATCTTGAACTGTACTAGATTTGACTTTTGTTTTGTGGTAATTGGATGTTTGTGTCAATCTCTTTGTTTTAAGAGTGGGTACTGGGCTCCCATGTTTGTCAATTATTAGGCTTAGTTTAGCTTATCATAGAACTATTGGAGTTCAAAAATAGAATAATATATGGGATTAGATATGAGAATCTTATGTTTCTTTAAGCATTAAGAGTTACTCCTAGTTGACCCGTTAGACAAGAATTCTCATTTAATATGCTGGCTAGATAGTGATAGGGGTAACTATTTTGTGGTTAATCTTTGATGTCATATCAAGGAGTCAAGGAGTGAGAGCAAAAGGAAAATACTATGTGTCCTCTCACTTTATATTTTCAGTTTTTACTTTTACACAAAATCTTGATGTAGACACTTATATCGAGACTCACATGAAAAAGAATAGCTTATCAAGAGCCCGCCACATTAGGGAGGAAAATTGAGGGAGTACATGTAGGAGAACTCATAGCAAAATGGATGGGAAGTGGGGATTGATGTATGTGGATGGGGAAAGTTGACTATTTTAGCTTCTCCTATAGGTGCTATTAAGAGTAATTACCCTATGTTGCCCTCGCTAGGTGGGATATCATTTCTTATTGAAGTATACTTTCACAATTTCCACCCTTGTTGGGATTCAGCTCTTGGCACCTATTTTTAATTTAAAAATAATTTGACGGATAAAAAAGTATGATTTTTTAAGCAAATAATTTAGATTAGACCAACCATTGTCAAAACTAGTATAGTTAAAAGATGCTGTTGTTTTGCAGGCACCAAAAGCCCTATTAAATGACAAAAACTACCTTTTGAGGTTCATGAAGTACGTAATTCCATTATGATATAGGGCCACAAATTAGGCCTAGTTTTCCCCACAGCTTAACCAAAAGGCAAAGAACGTGGTTATGGAGTCAAGGGAGTCATTAATCATGCCCTCAAGAAATGCACCCCTTAACAACAAACACACACCATATAAACAACAATATATATTTCATATATTATATTTCATTTTCTTATTATACTTCGTAGTTTATAAAACAGTTACATAAAACGTATTGATAATTCACTCAGTTATATTAACATAACCCTAACACGAATATATTAGATTTAGGGTTAACGCTCAGAAGTCTTGTAAAATTTTCATCTTTACTACTAATCATATAAGTAATATCTAAATGGTAATGGCAAATAGAATCACTTTGATAATATAATCACTAAGTAAATAAGTCAACTATGAACAAGATTACAAAAACCAAACATTCAAACATTACAATCCAACAAGTAAGCCAAGACAAGCCTTCCATGAACTCTTTAGGACTATAAATACAGCCCTAAATTGTCTCCCTATTCTCCAAGTAAAAAACTCATATAATTCCCCCTCTTTCAACTCTTTTTTCTTATTCTCTATCCTCTAGGCCATGGAACTTCACTTCCAAAACCACCAAAAAGAAGGCGGCGTTAGGGAGGCGGCCGCCAACAAGAGAAGGAAGTTTGTAGGGGTGAGGCAAAGGCCCTCTGGGAAATGGGTGGCAGAGATCAAGAACACAAGTCAGAAGATCAGAATGTGGCTGGGGACTTTCGACACAGCAGAAGAAGCTGCCATGGCCTATGATGAAGCCGCCTGTCTTCTCCGTGGCTCCAATACTCGAACCAACTTCATCAACCATGCCCCTCCCAATCCTGCCCTCTCACTCAAAATCAGAAACCTCCTTACCCAGAAGAAGAAAAACCTCAAAAAAACCCCCATGATTTCCCCTTCCCAAACCCCTCCTGCTAGTGATGATAGTAAGAGCTTTGTTAGTGTTACTGCCCCAGATGTTCCAGTTCTTGATAATGCATATAAGCCTGGCTTTAGCTTCTCTGCAGGGGGATTAGGACATGATCATTCATCACTTATGGTGGATTTTGATAGGTTTCTTTTGGCCCAATCAGATGAGGTTCTTAAAGGGAATCATGAAGATGAGATTTCAGAGTTTGAGCACATGAAAGTGGAGAGGGAAATCTCAGCATCAATGTATGCCATGAATGGAGTTAATGAGTATTGGGAGAATGTGCATGAATATGATTGTAGTAGTGATCATGCTTTCTTGGATCTGCCAATGTTATGCCAAATGTTCTGCTCAACTTAAATTTTAGTAGTTGTAGTAGTATAGTAGGGAGGCTGGAATATTGAGTTGATCCAAAATCATGAATTTTTAGCCATTAGATTTGAAGCTCTCTGTGAAGTCTTGGAACATCATGGAGGTGTAATCTTGAAAATCAAGTTTCTTCTTTGACAAATTTGCATCAATTTCAGTTCTTTAAATTTTCTAATTATTTTGGAATACGACTTTTGATGTCAAACTATGGATTTCTAGTATGACTTTTTATTGGGTGGTTTGCATTTTTTGTGTAATGCAACACAAAAATTCCAAAGGGTGGAAATCATTGACAATAATAAATCAGAATTTGGTACAAGAATTGACTTCCACACCGCCCCCCCCCCCCCCCCCCCCCCCCTCCCCTCAATCGTTATACCGAGCACCAGGGCGCACATAGCAATGTGCGCCCCGCGCTTCCCAAAACGACGTCTTTTTGTATTCTGCTATAAAATTATGTGTTTTCAGGTATAAAATTCTGTACATGCGAAACAACGGGTTTTTGTCTTTTTAAAAAAGATTATGTGTTTTCAGGTATAAAATTATGTGTTTTCTATTATATAATTCCGTATATTCGAAACATGGGGATTTTCAGTTATAAAAATTATGTATTTTTAGGTATAAAATTATGTGTTTTCAGGTATAAAATTTTGTGTTTTCTATTATACAATTCTGTACATTCGGAACATGATTTTTTTTAACAACAAACACGCGAAAAGGTCAAAACGACGTCGTTTTCGGCCAAGGCGCACAATGCACTGTGCGTCCTTGTGCACGGTATAATTTGCCCCGGTTAGATCTTAGTCTTCATGTGTGCATGAAGATCTAATCCAGATCATCCAACATCCTTGGACTTCCTCCGTTTTCTTTACCTTATGAGAGGTATGTTATTAGAGCAACCCAACAATTCAATTATTTTGTCAGTTCTTTTTTTTTTTTTTTTTTTGGGCCAAGAGGCCAAGAGGGAGCGGAGGAGAGAGGGGGAAAAAGGAAAAATAAAAAGAAAGTAGAGAAAAAAAATGAACAAATACCAATTTTGATTCCATGACTATTACAAAATGACAGTTTTGGTCCACATGTTTAATTCCTACCAATTTTCATCCACGACTATTGTTTTAGTACCAATTTCCATCCACAACTATTGTTTTAGTGCCAAAATTCATCACGCCGGTCACCCCATCGTTTAAGACATGCCGATTTCCGATGACATACCTCTAATAACATACCATTTAAGACATGCCGATTTCCGGTCACCCCAACTATTGCTCTAATAACATACCTCTCTGATGGCCGAAAACAGTTACTCTGATGAAATCTTGTGTGATAATATCCCAATGCAGGATGCTCATATCTTGTTAGGTAGACCATGGCAATTTGACAGAAAAATAAGTTATGATGGAATGAGGAACACTTATTTGTTTCACATGAATGGAGTTACATATGTCTTGCCTCGTTTGTATCTTAAACAAGTAGAAGAAATTCAATTGACATTGATGCAAGCTCTCAAACCAGCATCAAAGAAAGAAATCAAAGAGAAAAAAGTGGAACCTCCATGTTTGGAATTGCAATCACCACTCCAATCTTCTATTTCGGTTTGTAGCCAAACAAAGGGTCCACAATCAGTGATACAGTGGAAAGGACCAGCCCAAGGTGTCAAAGTGCAACCTCTCTTGGTAACTACAAAGGATATTAAGCAAGAGAAAAGAAGGGGAGTAACTATTTACTCATTTTTATTTCAAAAGCATGCATTAAAATTCTCTAGATTTGTTTGTCATGTTTCTATTAATGAGCTCCTTGCTAGATGTGTTAGAAATTTGTTTGCGCCCATACATCCGAGATTCCTTAATTTTGATTTTACTAAAACTTTATTTGATAGAGATAAGGAATCACTGGGAAGTTATAATGCACATTTGAAACTTCTTATGTGAAATACTACTCGCTCAAGGGGTTTTCGTTCAAAGTCAATGGGATTGGCACTTTTTGCTTGGATTTGAGCAATGATTTAATTATTGATTCACATAAGGGACAATTTGATTTTCCAAAGAGTGATGATGTTTTGCATGGATATTTTCATTGGCCAAAGAAGAAAAAAGATGTAGAATCTTATGTTCATAATTGTGCTACTTACCACCACAATGCATCTAAATCATTACTTGATATTTTCATGGATTTTGTGTTTGGTTTAGCCTTAAGCTCTAGGCGGAAAGATTTTGTGCTTATTGACAATTCAAACAAGATGCATAAATTTAATATGTCTCATTTTGTTGAATTATTACCATCCAGAATGTTTAAATTCCCTGATGTGTCATTAGACTTAATTGCATTACTTGTTGATTGTAGGATGATGATTGGAGCGACTCATGTCAAGCATCCCAAGAAAAAGTTCCATGAGCGTGATAAAACAGAAAGTGAGCTTGCTACTTTGTCTTTCACTGAAGATTTGGATTCGAAGACGAATCCTTTTCAAGAATGGGAGAATAATAGGAACCAGTACACATGGAATCCAGAAAGGGTAAATAGTGAGCTCATCACAAGGCCCATAACGACGACCTTAAAACATCATTGGTGGAAGAAACAACAAAGACCAATAATAAGTCCATTCGATAGAGGAAAATATTATAGTGGCCAATTTCAAGTGATATCATGGATCGAAGACAATGCTTACAAGATTCAAGGTCGAATCATTTTCAAGAAGGGGAGGATGATGCGGCCCAACATATGAAGATCCATTAAGAATACTAATTGGGCCAATCACAAGGCCCAAGTCCAAACAATTAAGGCAACTCTTCATTGGTGATGTTCAAAGATGGTGGAAATCCAAGTCAAGCCCATTTGCAAAATATGAAGAATAACTCAAGGCTTTTTTATAATTGTTTAAGTGCTGATTTTGGTGATTAAATTAGGCCCAAATCAGCCCTATTATTTTTTGTCATCATTAATTTAAATTGTTTGGCATAAAAGAGAAAACACTAGTTGTATTTAGAAAGGATTCCTTAAATCCTATTCTAAATAAAACTCTATTTACTTGTTTTCTAGATTAGGTTTAGGACTCTTTTTCCCATTGTATTTAGATTACAATGCTGCCCTATACCTATAAATAGGGCACATCCATATCAGTTTTAGACAGGCTTTAATTCAATAAAATTCTCAAGTCTTTCTTTACACTTGTGTAAGAAACCTTATGGCTAATTGTGGACTCAATTAGTGGCTAGTCGTGGACTCGACTAGCAAATTGATTCGTGGACTCGAATCAATCTTACTTTCTTCAACCTTAGATTTAGGTTCGTGGACTCGTTCTTGAATCGAAGGAAACTAGATCCGACTCTAGTTGATTGAAGATTGCAACATCGAGGTACTTGAAGCTACATGGGATTCTTCCAAGTCTTTGAGGATTCGAGACAAAGGGTTTTCTCGTGAGGTTTAAGGTATTTTGATCCATCTCTATCTTTAGTTTTGAGAGCATTCTTGGGACAATATTCCAACTTATTTGAACCTTGGACTAGGTTCATATCAGATCGACACTCGGAGATTCCATCCTCGTTTACACTTTTCCATCCACCGTTGAAAATACACCGCGTCAGCAAACTTATATGGAGGAGAGAGGGTGAAGAGAGAGAAAAAAAACTTTTCGGCAAGCACTTGATTTTTTACAGAGTTGGTTTATGCATTTTCGTGCCCTGCTTGTGTGAAGTGCAACCTAACGTTCAGCCCGACGTGTTAATGACGCTTTTTAGTTTTTATTTTTATTTTTTAATTTATTTTCAACTTTTTTTTTCTCCTTTTTCTCTTTCCTCTCATCTTGTCTTTTTAATGAGTTAATACCCAAAATGGTCCCTCGACTATGCCATAATTACCAATTTGGTCCTCAACTACCATTCTTACCCAATTAAGTCCTCAACTATGTAACTTTTACTCAATTAAGTCCTCAACTATACAATTCTTACCCAATTTAGTCCTCAATTATACAATTCTTACCCAATTTAGTCCTCTGTATTAATTTGACTGTTTGTTGACTGTCAAAAGTCGGGATAAAATTATAATTTTACAAGATTTCTCCTTCCTCTCCATTTAGCAGCGCCAAACCATGCAGCAATACACTCCGATCAGATTTCGATCGTCAAAAAATCGTTGGAAATCAAATTCATGGGCTATCCGATGCATAACCACTACTTCGATACTGACAGGTTTAGAACCCAACCGGAGCTTATTGCTACATGGTTTGGCGCTGCTAAATGAGGAGGAAGGAGAAAACTTGTAAAATTACAACTTTATTTCCACTTTTGACAGTCAACAAACAGTCAAATTGACAAAGGACTAAATTGGATAAAAATTGTATAGTTGAGGACTTAATTGGGTAAGAATGATAGTCGAGAACCAAATTGGTAATTACGATATAGTCAATGAACTATTTTGGGTATTAATTCTTTTTTAATTATACATGTAAAAACTCCTCAAAATTACAACATTGAAATGCTCAAAATCAAATATAAATATTTATGGGATCGAGTGAGAAGTGAATGTTGAGAAGAAGTGGAAAGCAGAATTCCAAGGAGGAAACCACACAGTACACATAAAGGTTGCGTCAGCTGTTACCTTTCCCTTTCCTTTTCTTAAATAAAATGAAGCAGAATTTGAATCCCATACCACCCTTCTTCTCAAACCTTCTTCTCGACACTGCAATTCTCTCTTTCAACTTTCAACTCAAACTCGCTCTCAACACTCTCAACCCCAAACTCTTCCCACCTCAAGTATTTACTGCTCTTTTGTCAATAGGTGGGTATGATTTTCCTTCTTACTTCCATTTTCTATTTGTAAAATTGAATTTGGTTACTGGGACTAACTAATTATGCAAAATTTTGTTAATTTTTTGAGTTATATGCCAGAAGTAATGTGGGTTTTTGCTTTCTTGGAATTTTGGCTGCCAATCATTGATGCACCCTTTTTGTCTATGATCTTGTTAGTACTTTTCTGTCCTTGTTAATTGTCTTCTATAAATTGTGCAGGTTTTTATTGCTTAAGCACTACTTTACTTTCTATCGGGAAATCTTTACAAGCTAAAGCTAAACAGTCGATTTTGTTTTTTTTTTTTTCTTTTGGGGGGGGGGGGGGGGGGGGGGGGGTGATGCTATATTATTGTAATGAGAACTTTGTTTGATATTATACAGTGGGAATAAAGAAAATATATGTCAGAATTATGTGCTATTGTGGTTTTGTTTTCTATTGGTTTTCCCTTTTCATTTTTGTTACAGAACCCAAACCTGAGCCTTTACTTTTCCTACTAAGTGGGGTCTCCTAAATGATTGCTGCAACACCATTATGCTCTATCAAAGAAATCATTTTTGCCAAATTGAGGGCATGTTTGTCTTCTTTCCTAGAACGTTTCTCCATCTTTTCAATTATAATCTTTAAAAAGGAGAGCTACAGTGTAAGTAGTTTTAAGTATTGAAGTGCAATCATTTAGTTTTCATCTTCTCTCTTTAAAGTTTTGGGAAACATTTTCTTTATTATATGCATCCTATTCTGTTAGCATATGACTTCAACTGAAAATAATGGAAGAAATGGAGGAAAAAATGTAAGTATGGGATTCAAATATGATGGGAATAGCAATAATATAGTTGGAGACTCATCCACCTGCATTTGATGAGCATATATATAGGCGAGCACTTTGATTTTTTTTCTTATTTTGGATGGAATACAGCATTGGTTGGTTGGGGTGTGTGTGTTTTTGTTTCGTTTTTCTTTTTCAATCATTGACTGCTGCATACTTACTGTTGCATTGTTGTTTCTCTTAAAAAAATGGCATCAGGTGGCTTGTGCTTTTGAAACTCTAGTAGCTTACAGCCTGACAGTTCAATTTAGCATTTGGTAAAGATTTGGTTAACATATTCCCTGGAATCTTAGTGGCAATCTTTCATAAGTTTGGACGCAGAAATGTCTGGTAGTGATGTGAGAAAAGTTTCATGTGAAGATCTACAAATGGTAAGGTTTTATTTTTTATTTTTATATATAACTTGACTTTAGTCAAGATCTGTTCAAACATGCTAGTATAATATATATATATATATATATATATATATATATATATATATATATATATATATTTTTTTTTTTTTTTTTTTTTCTTGAAAAGTCTTTCTGTTATACTAACTTTTGAAGAAGCTTGGAGCAATACTAAACGAAAAACGTATGAGACTGATCAAATCACATAATTGAGATACAAAAAATGATCTTAACTTCAGGGAAATTTTGTCAGAATAGCTCGAAAGGAATCACAAATTGTTTAGAATTAGGAAACTATCCTCCAAATATATTTGGGGCCTTGGCTGAGAAAATAATTCATCTGCCAGTGATATAAAATTAGATGTTGCATGGGAAGAAAGAGGAATAAAAAAATACGGAACTGAATTTGTTTTGCAGGTCATAAGTTAAGGACATAACCTATTATATTGCTTTGTGATGTGGTGAACATAGCCTAGTGTCAGGTACTCATACTTTTGGCTCAAAAGAGCCATTTAGCGACTAATAATTGTCTCAATTAAGATCTACTAGACTAGGCTCAAGTAACCTTAATGCAACAAAATACTTTGTAAAAGGAGAACAAGGAAAGACAAAAGCAATTAAAAGGGAAGTATGAAACTTTATTGAGGAACTATCAAAATATTACAAGTAGGAAGAAACTCTATGCAGTATGGAGAATTGGGTGAAACGTGAAAGGATGGATGAAGAATTCTACAAATGAGTCCTTTATTCAGAGTAGAGTGTCATAGTTCAACTAATGGGTGTGACTTTTTCATGAAATGCACTTCTTGAAATGAGGTCTCTCTTCTAGTCTCCACATATTGGCTTTCTTTGGCTTTTAGAACCTTAAAAACAAGGGGGGAGGCCATTTTAACCTTGATTTAGGCTCCCCTAGGCCATATGGCCTTGGGCCATTTGTTTTTCTGTGGTGTGGGGTTTCACACTCACCTTCACCTAATATTAGTGACATCTTTGATGTTGACTGCTCCCAAGTACTGTTTCACCATAGCTTGTTGTCAAAGTTACTGGTGTGAGAGGCTAGCATCTTATGGTCAACTCAAATGGAGTATGGTAAAGTGGATTTGCTTTTCTGCAACTTGTATGAGAATCAAGGAGCATTTATCATCTTGGCCCAATCTTGCTAGTTGGCATTGATAAAGTCATGGTTTATTAACCCTCTTTGCTTATCTGTGAATAACCCTCTTTGTAAGAGGGTTAATGAGGAAATGCAAAGGCAGTTAAACGGAAACCGTTAATCTTTAATGAGGAACTGCCAAAGGAACTCTATACAATATGGGAAATTGGGTGAAGGGATGGATGAGGAACTCTAGAAATGAGTTCTCATGAGCCTCCTAGTTCAACTAATGGATGTATCTCTTCAGGAAATGCAAGAAAGTGAACATTCTTATTGAAATGAGACATCTCTTACAATTTTCATATGATGGCCTTCCTTGGCTTCTAGAACCTTTAGAAACCAAGGAGGAAGGTCATTTAACCTTGGTTTAGCCGTTTAGGTTTCCCAAGGCCTTACCTAGCTGTGGTTTGCTAAGGCATGGTGTGGGAAGTCACATTAAGTAACAAAATAAGAAACTAGAGCTTTTTAGCTTGTTAAGAGTCTAACATTGAAAATATAAGAGAGAATATATGGGTTTATAAGGCCATGGGTTAGACTAACTAATTAATTGGATTCAGTTTTTTAGTGTGGTTTGACCAACATGGTATCAGAGTCTGTTCGGTCCACTTTGTGTTCACCCCGGTGCTCTACCCAAGCACAACAATTTGAATACCTATTTCAAAAAGGTGTCAGCATAAAAGACTATTGTCTATCCCTGCATTGAATTGTAGCTACTTAAAATCTCTAGCAAAATTTGAAGTGAAGTCAGTTTATAACATGTGGTTGGTTGTCTGTCATGTTTCTTTTTTTAGTTATTTTCGGTGTTCATTCTCAAGGATCATGATTATTTACCACTGAATCACTGATTCCAGGTGCAAAATCGCATATGGCAGTGTCTCCAGCTCTACATGAGTCGTGAAGAAGTTGTTAACAATCTCTTCGTGCATGACAATATAGAGCCTAGCATTACTGAACTTGGTATGTTATATACTTCTCACCCCAACTTCATTTATTCAGATATTTTGCAATAACGCCACATAGGAAAAATATGTCTTATACTTGCAGGCTTCAGATATCCTTATTCGTTATAATTTCATATGTTTCCTTAATTTACTTTATCTTGAAACATTACATTTTTATATTAGGGAAAACCCTACATACATGGTACTTTGGGCTTGGCTTGTTTAGAACACACTTTTGATTGCTTTTTAGAGATATGTGATTAATTCTACCCTGTAAGGAAGTTCCCAGAAATACTTTTAACATTTTCAATTCACTAGTTCCTCACTTCGAAACATAGATTAAGAGTGTTCCGTGTTAAAATAGCTACCAATTATGGCCCTGTTTGGTAAATGGCTGTTATCTGATAGTTGTTAGCTGGTAGCTGATTGGGTTAATTGAAGGGTATAACTAGTTGATAACATTAGTTGATTGTAGAAAGGTGTTTGGTAAATTAGCTGTTAGCTGATAGCTGTTTGGTATAATTTCTTTTCTAAAAAAAGCTAATTGAAAAAGTTGCTTTGAGTAGCTTTTTGAATTTTAGCATTTTGAAGTACAAAAAGCTAATTAACCAAACACTTATATTGATTTTTAAACCAAATCAAACAACTAATAGTGGTCGGCATATAGGCTAACTATTTTACCAAACAGGGCCTATATCTGGTAAGTTTTAAGAGTGCAAATGAAATGGATGAGAATCAGGAAACTTTCCAGGCGTATCTTCTTAAAGCTGTCTTATATTAATCTGTTCTCATACTGTGTTAGAGTTTAACTATCTGCTGCACTTCCAGTTTGGCAAAAGCTTGAAGATGAGAATCAGGAAATTTTCCAGGCATATTTCCTGAAGTTGATGGTGAAAGAGCAGATATTGAAATTCAACCAGTTGTTAGCAGAGCACTTAAAACTAATGCATCAGATAGGACCAAGTGCTATTGCCTCACTACCCGTGTCTAATGGATCTCATATTTCACCAAGTAAGTGCTAAGAAGTTATATGACAAAGTTTTGCCCGACTTAATATGTCATTAGCATTTGCTTTGATCCTTTTCATACTTTTGCTCAACAGTCATGGTAAATTTACGCTTTCTTAGATTGTGTGTTGTTGGGAGGGGCGTGTTGCAGATACAATAATTTGCTAATTACATCATAGTCCTTTCGAATTTCAGATTAGACCTCTAATTGAACCATGTGCTTCATCTCAACTAAAAGCCTAAGCTGATAGTTGACTGCATATGCTCAATACGCCCCCTCACGTGTGCGGCCCGATTACTTTTTTTGTCGGGTGGCAACCAATCTCAACTAAAAGCCTAAGCTGATAGTTGGACTGCATATGCTAAATACCTCTTAACTCCATTCATATTTTTTCCTGACAGTACTTCAAAATTCAGCACGCTACACTGCAGACAACAGTGGAACTACTGTGAAACTCGAGGGCATGCACAAGTCTGTCCCGACCAATTATAGTAACTGCAGCTCATCGTTTCATCCTCGCATACAAACAGCGGTTAATATGCCGGTTCAGAAAGTAAAGGTTGATGTTAATGCAAGCAGGTTAAGTCAAGCCTCGAATGTGGTAATGACACAAACCATGAATGGGAAGATGATCAAACCCGAGTCTGTATATGAGAGCAGCCCTACTTTTAATTTCGGTATGCGTGGAAACATCTTTGAATCACCGCCCGCATTGGGTGATGCATCTGTTTCATCATTTAGTAGTGCTGAGTCCAATTCACACCCCGAAACTCTCTTCGATGCCGACACATCTTCGTTTGGATTTTTAGGGCCGATTTCTCAGAATTTCAATCTCGCAGACTACACAGCTGACTTTTCGAACAGTTCAGGTATGTTTTTTTGAGTACTACTGACTCTGTTACAACGCAGAACTACTTTCTCAACCTACTGAAGCACAAAGAGTCTATACCGCCTCCACTGAGGCTCGAACCCACAACCTCCCATATGAGAGTGTAGCTTGGAGCCACTAGACCACAAGGTCCTTGGCATTTATTTATTTTTTCTTTCTAAAACTTTTGAAACACATAATTCTCACTTATAATTTCATGTTTCTGTAGTTAGAACTTACGTGCTTCAAAATTTTGTTCTAATCCCAGTCCTTTACGTGATGTTCAGATATCCTGGAGAGCTACTCTAGGTCTCCCTTTCTCGCTACAGATACAGGGAACTTGCTTGATCCCAGTGGTATGTGAGGGAAACGTGGTTAGCTTTTTATTTATTTATTACGTTCATATTTTTAACTTCTTTTATTATTGAGCTTCAGGGGACATTGAGAGGTTAGCTAATTCATCAGACGGCTTGCGATATAAAGGTTTTAGTAGTGACTGATTTCTCATATGGTAAACTCTCTATGTCTGTCTTTAAGTAAATGTAATGTTTGAAACATCGGTCCCATGTAGAACTTTTGTGATAGCATATATACTATAAAGGTCTTTGTTGAATTTGAAAGATTTAAAGGCCTGATGGGTGGAGAATAACAACCACCCGCCAGTTAGGCGGAAGCAGAGATGAAGACTGTTAATTTAAAATGTCTAAAAGACTGTTAATTTAAAATTTAAACACTTATTCATAAACAGACACCTATTTATAAACAGACACAACCTATAGACAGACATAACCCTTTGATGTTTTTATCTCCTTGGGGCCAAGGATCCATTCTTGTTAATGTGATAACTAAAGCTTTAATCCCAATTAAGTTAGATGTGACAAAAATTTATGACGGGAAAAGGGCCAAATAAGCCTTGGAACTATTTAGGAACATTCAACTGCACCATTGAACTAGATAAAGCTTCACATTAACACTCGAACTGCAAGTGAGAATCGACACCTTTTAGGTTATGTTGATGTGAAACGGAATATTTCCTAATATTTCGCATACATTTGTTTTGTGTAGATGGTCGACTCCTGATTCCATGCTGCAGATTCACTGGCAAACTCTTGTGATAAATAACCTGTTTTGCATTAAAGGTAACTTGGTTTCGGGTTTGGGTTAGTTCTTACAGTGAACAACTTGACATGAGAGAGTGCACTTAATATTTGTGATGGAGAAGCAATGTTGCTTTCTTTTTGTATGTTTTTAATGCTAAATTGTTATGTATATATTGTAGAAATTTTTACCATAAATTATAGATTGGGCATGACTGCATGTGGTTTTCTAAATGCTGCTATTGCTCTAAAAATCTTTTGTATGAGTTCTTGCCCAAAAATATTATTGTGGTGGGCTTGTCATAAATGTCACATCATTGGTTTATGAATTGATTGATGTTTAATCAAATAAAATTACACTATTTGTTACATGATATGGTAAAGAAGTGATATTATGAGTTATCCTATACGTAATTGGTTTTAGTCTTATAATCTAAGATTGAGTGAATGTCACTCAACTGGTTATAATGCATATGGGTCAAATCACATTAAAAGACTGAATCCAATCAATTAATTAGTCTAACTCATGACCTTAATTATAAACTCATATGTTCTCTTATGTTTTGAATGTGAGACTTTTAACAAGTGATATCTCAAAATATTATTTTGAAAGTCTCGTTTTAGCCTAAGAGAGAAGGGGGGGAAGGGGTGGGTGTGGGTGAATTAGGCAATAAAAATTTTGTGACTTACTCATTTGAGCATGGTTTAATAGGATTTATAGAATGTTGAAATGTATTTATGAATGAAGAATGTACCAGGTGAACACCTATTTATATATACTATCAATGTCAAGTACCATGTAGTTCAATAAAACTCCTGTGCTTTTTTTAAATGGGAGGTCACATGGTCACATGTTTGAATCCCTATAGAGCATTAACTCTTTGTGCTTCAATAGGTTGAGAAAGTATATATAGACATATACATGTATAATAGAGTCAGTAGTACTAAAAATAAATAAATATTACAAGACAACATCGAAGTTGAGTCAGTAGTATATATATATATATACCGTCTATGTCCAATATTACAAGGCAACATCGAAGTTAGAAACCTCTTTTTACTAGATGACTTCTTCATTTAATTCTAAGTGTAAGCATTTGATAATAAAATTTGCCATGAATGTAAAGACAATAAATAAGTATAATGGTATTTCTAGTGGTTTGGTAAACCTACTCTCCTAGAGCTGTCGGAAACGGGCCGGTAGGGCGGGCCCGTCAAAGCTTGTCATATGACGGGGCGGGTTCACAAATAATCGTCAGATGATTTTACTGATTTAAGAAGAGTGACTACGTTTCATACTCCTGCTGAGAATACTCCAGCAAGAGTAGAAATCCCCAAGGAACCGAGTATACATACTGACACCCCCATCCCCCATCACCAGAAGCGTGGGAGACCAGTAGGTGCAAAAGATATAAATCCGTGGAAAAGTACTAGGATTAATAAAAGTTCTCAGTCACTCCAGAAAGTTTTCAATCGTCTTGAAGACGGAGAACGCAGTGAACTTGCACGTGCTCTATATTATATTAACACTAGGAATGCGGAAATATTGTGAGAAATGACAATGATCTGGTTGATGTAAATATAGAAACTATCATAAACTTTGTTGATGCAAGAGAAACTTATAACAGAGATTTAACAGTCGACGACGACGACACATTTGCCTGCGTGATTGCCTCTAAAGTATCATGTGATAATCTAGATCCATAACCAAAATCAATACCAGAGTATCAGAAGCGCTCTGACTGGATAAAATGGAAAGAGGCAATTGAGGCAAAGCTTAACTCGCTTAATAAAAGGAAAGTGTTTGGTCCCACCATGCTTACCCCGAGAGGGTGAGAGGTGTGATCCTAGTCGGATCCAAGTGGGTGTTCCTACGGAAGAGGAACGAAAATAATGAGGTGGTTAGATATAAAGGGAGATTAGTAGCTCAAGGGTTTACGCAGAGACCTAGAGTTGATTTTGAGCAAACATATTCTCCTATTATTGATGGTACTTAGTTCTGTTATTTGATATCATTGACAGTCAAATTAAATTTGGATATGTAATTGATGGATGTCGTGATCGTCTATTTATATGGGTCACTAGACACTGTTATATACATGAAAATATCCGAATGTATTCAAAACCCCAAGATGAGGTTGAGGAATGATCGGAACATGTATATAGCATGAAACTACAAAGGATGGTTTGAAGCAATCGTGTAGAATATGGTATAACTGTCTAGAATTCCTACTAAAGCTTGAAGGTACATTTAATACACAAGTAATGTTACTTCAGTATATTAAAAATATGGTTCACATTGCAATGTGGACCACGGTCCACAATATAATTTGTCATCTAAGAGCCAGTTGGCCATTGGTCAATTCCATTTTTACCCTATTAAGTGACACAATTGTTACAAACTTGACACATTTCAAATAATAATAATTACGGAGTATAATAATAATTGTGTTGTAGTATGAAATATGTTAAAAGAAAATAATTGTAGCCCACCCACCCACCCCAAGCCAGTCTCAACCACTTTTAATGAGATGTCTCAAAAACATTAGCCACCACTAATGTCATATTATCCAAGATGTTAGATGCCCTTCAGCATTAAACAAAGATTAAGACAGCAACCCTACATGCAACAACCACTTGTACACATCATACAGAGTGATCATTAGAAGATATTTCAACTACTTCCATATATGACAATTCAAGTTTCACTCAAACAGGTTTTACAATAACCACTCATAAATTAAACAATATATACAGATTTCACCTGCTTTTGGGTCATCTTCATCATGCATATATAATGTATCATTTGTCAAACATGATTATCTAACATATATATGCTCTGGGGGAAATTAAACCAATTAAACTAAAATATGCTTAATCAAATGAGTTTACATGAAAATTGGTAACCACTGTATGCAGGCACTTCTTAAAGACTTGAATTAGAAGCAACACTGATAAAACAACAGATTTCAACATCAACCAAAAGCTTTACACACAACAACACTTTAACAATATACCAAGAAAGAAATAGATACGGAATATATAGCAGCAGGCTAATGGCTGAAGCTCAGGGCAGCAGCCTGCCTAGACGAGATGCCACACTTCAATAGTCTTCTCCTTCATCATCTTCTTCGACACCTTCAGCACCAACTTCTTCGTAATCTTTCTCGAGGGCAGCTAGATCCTCACGGGCTTCAGAAAATTCTCCTTCTTCCATGCCTTCACCTACATACCAGTGAACGAACGCCCTCTTGGAATACATGAGATCAAACTTGTGGTCGATGCGTGAGAACACCTCGGCCACAGCAGTGTTGTTGCTGATCATACAAACAGCTCTCTGCACCTTGGCAAGATCACCCCCGGGCACAACTGTTGGGGGTTGGTAGTTAATCCCACATTTGAAGCCGGTTGGGCACCTGTTTATGCCCAAAATGAACACTTTTAGATTAAATAGAATTGTATTCAAGAGAGAACACAAGACTGAATATAAAACCCCAAAAATGCAGATAATAGAATAAAAGCACCTGTCCACTGCAGGTACAAAAGGGCAGGTCAAAAACGCAATTCACAGAATAAATCAAAAAGGGGAATGGAAATATCCTTTATACTTAAAGGGCAAGTGAAACAAAAAGATATGCCTCCAGCTCAACCAAAACCATATCAAAGCATGTTCACAACAGCTCCACATGCATGAGTGGGGCCCAGTTACAGGTGGGAGCTATATAAAGAAAACAAAATGAGGCAGACTCAAACCAAATAATTGAGGTATCAAACCTTCTACAATATAATCATTCATCAAGCCATCATGTCTGAACTAATTAGTGTTCCAAATAATTCAGTGCACAGAACGAACAGGATAATATATCAAGTCCATCTGAAAAATAGAGTATGATATAATCCAAAGCAGAATTATAATGTTCATCAACAGAAATAATGAAAAGTATTCACAAGAGAGTTCTGGCAAGCATGTTTTGAAGTGTATAAGATGCAAAATCATATAATGGTCATCTTTTAGAATAGTATGCCTCTGCATTTAACATATTTTGAAGCATTCTCTAGCAATTATTTAAAGCTTGTTAGTCAGTACAGTGCCCTTACCAGTCAACAAACTGAACTGTGCGTTTCGTTTTGATAGTGGCAACAGCAGCATTGACATCCTTAGGAACAACATCCCCTCGGTACATCAAGCAGCAAGCCATGTATTTCCCGTGCCTGGGGTCACATTTTGCCATCATGCTTGAGGGCTCAAAGACAGCACTTGTAATCTCCGGGACAGAAAGCTGCTCATGGTATGCCTTGGCAGCTGAGATCACAGGAGCATATGAAGAAAGCATGAAATGTATACGGGGATAGGGTACAAGGTTGGTTTGGAACTCTGTCATGTCCACATTTATGGCTCCATCAAACCTTAATGAGGTGGTCAGGGATGATATGATTTGAGAAATTAGCCTGTTCAAATTAGTATAGGTTGGCCTCTCAACATCTAGGGACCTCCTACAGATGTCATAGATGGCTTCATTATCCAATAACACAGCAACATCAGTGTGCTCAAGAAGGGAATGCGTTGAAAGAACACTATTATAAGGCTCCACAACAGCAGTTGATACCTACAATTAACATAAAACAACAAAGGTAAGTTAATAATAAAGCAATAATCACTGGGCATGTTTCATAGTGTTATTTACCTGCTCATTGAGCAACTTAGAACCTTATTTTTTTGGGTCAGACCACGAGGTGTCCTGAGCAGACCCTAACTGTAGGAGGCACCTTTAAGCCCGTACCATACTCAAACTTATCCCCGTTCGCACCGGGCCGACCCAATTAAGGGCAAAGTGCTGGCCATATTGGTTTTTCCATACGAGAGGGGATTTGAACTCCTGGCCTCTCCTAAGGGACAAGAGTGCATGGCCACACACGCCAACCTAGTTGGTTTCTTAGAACCTTATTAACAATGAACAAGTTAAAATGAAAGCACTGTAGTTTTTTTTTTTAAGAATTCTCCATTTACATAGTTATAAAAAGTAAATTATGACACACTGCAGACAATCTCAATACACAAGATCATGCTACTCACCTGGGGAGAAGGATAGATGGTGAATCCAAGCTTTGACTTTTTTCCATATTCTACAGACAGGCGCTCTAATAGCAGGGATCCCAACCCAGAACCAGTACCACCACCAACGGCACTGAAGACCAAGAACCCCTGCAAACCCGTGCAGTTATCAGCCAACTTCCGGACACGATCAAGACATAGATCAACAATTTCTTTCCCCACTGCAAGCAGAAACCAGTGTCACTTTAAATAAACAGAATAGCAACAGAAACTAAACGAGATCCGTAGCTTTAACTCTGTAAATTTGGACAATTTAATTCCGACCTGTATAATGCCCTCTGGCAAAATTATTGGCAGCATCTTCTTTCCCCGAGATAAGCTGCTCCGGGTGGAAAAGCTGGCGATATGTCCCTGTTCTGACTTCATCAATGACAGTAGGCTCAAGATCAACAAATACAGCCCTTGGGACATGTTTCCCAGCACCGGTCTCGCTAAAGAAGGTGTTGAAAGCATCATGTGCAACACCAACAGAGGAATCACTGCAATACATCACAAAATACTAAATTAGAATCCCATCAAATCTCTCTCCAATATAACAATTTCTTTCCATTCATCAAACTCAAAGCTAAAGGCATAACATTGTTAACCAATTCTTCCAACACCCCCACCGATCCCTTATTATCATAATTGACCTAAATGCTAATAACATAGAGCAACAAGAGAACCATTAACCGACACATTTTTTTCCTTTTTAGTTTTCGTCATTCCCAAGTGCCAATTTACAGAAAATAGAAATTTTCGAAAGAAAATTGGAATTCATTAAGACTCTATTATTAGCCAAAACATTCCCATCTCCAACATTAACAAGAAAAAAAAATCCAAAAATTCCACAAGGCAGGAAAAAGGAAATCTAAACAAATCTCAAATCTCAAAAGCAAAAATGTGAACATACAGAATGGATCGCGTGAATCCGACATACCAAGAATCCAACAAAACGAGAAACCCGCAAATAAAATCACACAAAAGGTGAATCTACACCGAAACGACCCACATCCCAAAAACAAATAATTGAAATTTGAAAAGATCATATATATCCATATATTCTTGATAAAGATTGATACCTGGGCATCATGCCATCGGGCTGGATGCCATGCTCAAGGCAATAAAGCTCCCAACAGGAATTGCCCACCTGAATCCCAGCTTGCCCTATGTGTATGCTGATAACCTCCCTCATCCTCTCTCTCTCTCTCTCTTTCAAGGTTGAATCTTTATTGGTTTTCCTCTCTGAGAATAGAAGAAATTGAGGAATTTGTTGAATGTATTTTTAGGAAAATCAGATTGGCGTGCTTATAATTTGATGAGGAATGAGGAAGTTAAAAAATGGAGTTGATAATTGTGTGGAGTCCGAAAACAGGCCCGCCATTTGGCGCCAGCCTTTCGCTGGGCCCCTTTCCCTTGTCGTTTCGCCCTACTCGATGTCGATGGGACCTTTTTGCCCTTTGTTTTCCCTTTTTTTCTTTTAAATAAATTACTTAAATATCACACTTTTGTAATTTCAAAAAAAAATATCACACTTTTGACTTTACCCCATTAAAAGATGTTTAGTGAATCCAAAAAATAAATAAATAAATTACGGAGTAGTAAAATTATAAAATGGATATAAGAATAAAAGAAATTATTATTATTACATGAATAAAAAATATAAATTTAAAATAATTTTTAAATATATAAGAAAGCAAGAAGTGTAGTATATAAGTTAATGGTGTTAATAATTTAAATAGGAGAAAAAAGAAGAATAAAGGTAGAATTGGAAAGAGAAGTGTAAAAATAAATACATTTTGTAATTGATTACGTTAACATTATTTTTATTTCTTATTAGGATCTTATTACTAACATTGCTTTTTATATACTCGGTAATTTTTGGATAGAATAAATCTCAATTTTTATGAGTGATAAGGGAGACTCGTAATTATTACTCGAGAGCGCACCCTAGATAAATCATGTTCCTGTATAATAGTTCACAAATCATACAAAAGAGGTAAAACACACTAAGAAGTACCAATGCAATTTATTACGTTAACAATTTTTGTTATTCTTATTAGAATTTTATCAACATTGCTTTTTATGGACTCTCTCTATTACATTTTGCCTATCATGTTTGCTATTTATTGATCAAACAAACTATTTCTTTATTGCTTAATTTCATTATTATTTTCTTATGGGTTTTAAATTTTATTTTTATTTTTGTATTTAATATTACTTTTATTGTAGTTTCTAGATATATAAATTTTATATATTAATTTGAAATTTAGTATTATGAAAAATTAAATTGTAAATAACTTTAGTCAAGTCTCTTTAATCAAATAAGATAAATAGAATAGAGGGAGTAATTTTTAAATAGAACAAATTTCATTTTTTTGAGTGGTAAGAGAAACTTTCGACCACTGTTTAAGAGCGTATACAATATACTGGATAAATTTTGTTTTCGTATAATGGCCCGCTAACCACACAAAAGCGATAAACCATACTAGAAAATACCTATATAATAGATTTGACCAAGATAGTGTTGGCAAAAACATAAATTTCACTTTTAGTTCATACAACTATCATGGTATTGTCACATGTAGTTCTACAATTTTGCTTAATTTGCCATATCTGATTCTATGTTAGAATTTTTATCAAATTGACTTGAATGTTTTAGACAATATGGCAATTTCAAAATTTTAATGTTCTTTTATTGTCTAAATGACCTAAGAGCATCCTCACCAAAGTTTTTTATTATTATTTTTTTTTTCACAATTGGAGGAGAGAGAAGATGATTTGAAGGGGTATAAGAGATAAAAGAGAAAAAGAATTGTAAGAGCATTCATAATAGTGTAGTTTTTTTTTTTTGGGTGGTAGGAAAGAGAATATGAAAGGGAAGAAAAAAGAAAGAGAAAATAAATAAATAAAACAAAGCTGATTTTTTTTAAAGGTAAGTGTCAGCGCATGTAACGCGTCCAGTGGGTGCATGTGTGACAGCTACACGTGACTGTCACCGTTGGAGTAGTTTTGCTGTGGGTCCCACATCTCTGAAAAAACCACAACCTTGCATAATGATATCCAAGCTTCTCTCTCTTACCTCTCTCTCCTCCATGTTGGAACTCTCCTTGTTAAAAACCATGAATAATCCACAGATGTCGATGCTCAATAACACGTTGATTTTTTGTGGGGTCCACAATTTTTTAAAAAAAATGAAGATTAATCTCGTCTGGTGCGTGTGCGTCACACCAAGCGAGCCTAGGTGTGCATTAATAATATTTTTTTATGAGAGTCCTTTTCCCTTTTTTTTTTCCCACTTTTTTCTCCCCCTCTCCCTCTTATGTGGTGGGGCAAAAATCACTTCAAAAACTTATTTGTTGGAGATGCTCTAATAAATGATATATCATTTTAAAAAAAAAACTAATCTTACATATAATAAAGCTATATGGTTGGGAAGTAATTAATTTTACAATTAATTACCAACATTATTATTATTACTAGCTATAAATTAAATTAGCCACAACATCTTTTACTATTAAAAAAAAAAAAAACACAACATTTGAAAAATAAAATAGCTATTTTTTTTCTCGCCCATAACAAAGGATTACATTTATTGAATTAATGGAGTTATTAAATGTTAGGCTAACCCCATCCCAGAAATTTTACCCCTTTCTAAATGACATGGAAGAGAGAGAATACATTTTTTATTCTTTTTTGATGCTGATGTGTATTGAAATTGGAGAGAGAATTGCTAAAATAGAAATAGGAGAGAGAATTTGCTAATGAAAGAAAAAGCTGCAAAAGGACAACTGCATAACTTTTTATGTCTTTTTTATTTTTATTATTTCTTTTAATATTATTTTATTATATACAAAATTGATAATGTAGAAGTGGGACCCATTTTAGAAAGTGAGAGAAATTTTTGGTATAAGGATAGCCTTATGATATTAGGATTTAGGATTTCGATTCCCGATTAATAGAAAATATGAAACGATGCAATATTAATTAAATCTCTGACTTTACAATGAAAGTCTATTTGATATGCTTTTGTTATTTATGGCGGTTCTTGAGATTACAATATTAATTAAATTTTTGATGAAAGCCTATTCGATATCTGAAACAGTGCAATTATGCAAGCCTCTACATATAATTTTTCTCCATCTTAAATGCTTCAAAGAAATGGCAGAAGCGAGAAGGGATGGAGAAAGCAAATGTTGCGGACCGTGGGTCAATTATTGGACTTCAGAATAAAAAAAATCATTTAAGCCATAAATAAAAATTTAAATATATATAAATGTATATATCGTAGGGGTCTTTAATGTTTTTCAGGATGTCTAAACTTAGTACTTTTAAAAGAAAAAAAAATATTTGAATTATCTCCACAAAAAGTGGTATTGGACTTATAAAATTACATTTGAGTTTATGGAATGCCATGTGCATAAAGAATATATCATATAACCATATAAAAAAAATGTGTTCAATTAGAGTTTAAATTTACTCATACAAAATTTGAAATTTGCTTTCTAAATGTAATTATCTTAGTTATTATTCGTATTGTGAAAATTATAATATAGATGAAATACAATTAAGAATAAATCAATGTAATTATATTATGTAAATTCTCTCTATAAGTTTATTTGAATATGTACATAATTAGAGAATAGAGATTATATTAACCATACAAAATTTTAACTATAATTTTATATTCTATAAAAATAATAAATACTTGACCAATGGAAGCTCAAAAATATTATTATATTAAACAATTTGAAATATTTTTATTTTTTCTATTTTTTATTTATATTTATAATGACATAATTTTTTCCCGTGCATCGCGCAGGTAAATTACTAGTTTTCATAAAAATGTCTATTAAATTACTATTTAGTATATCATTTATAAACATTTTTCAATAAGAACTAAAACTAATATTATAAAATTATTGAATTTTCTTTAAAATGAGAATTAATTTAATAAAAATTGTAATAAATTATCAAATGTGATAATGTTAATGAAGTTGTTGAACTAAACATGGTCAAATTAAAAGTCAAAAATAAATGTGTCACTGGCACTGAAATGGGTGCCTAAGTGGGGACATTATTATTGTATTAAAAGATCACGATTTTGATTATTACCAACATTTTATCGGTTGAGCATGTCACACCCAGTCTTCTTAGTACAATTTTTTTTTTTTGTAGTTTCGAACTATTAAATATAAATGTGGTTTATTCTGTGCACACTATTGAATAGTGGCTACAAGTTTCACCATTACCAAAAAATAAATAAATAAATAAATAAATAATATGTCAGTCACAATAGTTGTTTGAGTAAAATTATAATTTTTCCTTATAAATATTTTCAAAAGAGTTAATTCCACTAGAGGTCCATTGTCTTTAGTGGCAATTTTAAATTTAGTCTCAGACTATCGTTTTTGCCATTTAACATCCCAACTATTACTTTTTGGACACTTTTAGTCCTTATGATTTTTTCTATTTTTAGTAAGGGCATTTTAGTCTCTTCATATTTTTCTTTTGTTATTTTTTCGATTTCAACCGGTTTAATTGGTTTAGGACTTTACTAAAAACCGGTTAAAAATATGATTACTAAAAATCAGAGATTACCTAAAGTTCTAAACCAATTAAACCGGTTGAAACCGAAAAAATAACAAAAGAAAAGTATGAAGAGACTAAAATGCCCTTACTAAAAATAGAAAAAATCATGAGAAGGACTAAAAGTGTCCAAAAAGTAATAGTCTGGGATCTTAAATGGCAAAAACGATAGTCTGTGACTAAATTTGAAATTGCCACCAAAGACAAGGAACCTTTGGTGGAATTAACCCTTTTAAAAAGTAAAAACTACATTTATTTGCGGTTTCTTTTATACCCTCTTTATCTCATTTTAGTAATTTAGTAATCATATTTTAATTTACTATTTATTGATGTTAAGTGAAAAGAAAAAACAAAGTTTAATTCGTGTGTAACTAGACTTGCCAAAATCAAATACTTTCTAAAAGAATAAAAGTATAGGCATGGTATTATTTCTTTTTGTCAACTCTTTGTTACACGACATGCTTTGTGGATCATTGAGATGTCATTACCCAGCTGCCATTTTTTCCAAACTAGTTAATTTCAACTCAATCTAGTTTGTCATGTGAGTGTGAGTATGATTATTGATATCTCAACTTTTTTTAATAGGGAGAAATTTTAATCCATTATTTATACTAAAATAGCTAATTCAGTCCCTTAATTTTACACACACACACACACATTAAACATTAACTGACGCACTTTAAGTACACAACACATGCACATTAAACACACAAACAAAACACCTTCAGAACACTAACTCACGCACATTAAGCACAAAACCACGCATGTTAAGCACAAGCCGCACGCACCTTAAACACAGAACTCATGCACCTTTTAAGTTTCAACAATTACTCACATTAAGCACAAACTCACACACATTAAGCTCAAAACTCACGCATGTTAAGCACAAAACTCACGCACTTAAACACAAAACTCACTCACTTAAGTTTTTAACAACTTACATTAAGCACAAACGCACGCACTTGAAGTACAAAACTGACGCACGTTAAAACCGCACAACTGCACGGGAAACACTTAAATGCACTGGAACTTAATTCTACGCACACACACACGCACACACACACACACACACACACACACACACACACACACACACACACACATATATATATATAATCATATTTAGTCTCTAAATTGTTTATTTGGAGATTATTTTAGTCTCCCAGCTTAAATAGTTGTTCAGATTAACGATAATGAAAGAGTAAATATGTGAATTCATCAGGTTCCTCCCAAAGCATGCACCAAATAAGTAAAAAAAAAAAATTAATTTTAAGTCAAAGCTATCATGCAGTAACTTTGTTTTCTCTGTAAATTCATTTAAGTACTCCTTAACAAACAAAAAAAAAAATCTAAAGCTAAATGTTTTCAAAATGATTAAGGGAAGTTAAGAAAAGTCTAGTAATAAAGTGAAAAAAATACAATACTTTTAAGTCAAGTGAATTTTGATTCCTTTCAACCAAATGTGTAGGGTGAGCAAATTTTGATAGAAGATCGATTAACCGATAGAAACGTAAAAACTTCAGTTAACCATTTTTTAACCCATATAATTCGGTTCGGTTAATTGTTATGGATTTTACATAATTTCAGTTATCAGTTAATTCAGTTCAAAATTGTCGATTAATTGAACAGTTAACCAAAGTTTATATATATATATATATATATATATATATATATATATATATATATGATAAATTATATGAGAACATGATTGAAAAATGATAGTGGTTGTGTTTTGGGACTGCAAAAAAAAAATGCGCCCTCAATTAAAGAAACAAATTGTAAAAAATGGCGCACCTTAAAGAGAAAAATTACGTACCTAAAACTTTGGACCGACGTACCTTAAGTTTCAACAACTGACGCACCTTAAGAAGGAAAATCACGCACCTTAAAAAGAAAAATCTCGCACCTAAAGCTTTAGACCGACGCACTTAAGTTTCAACAATTGACGCACCTTAAGCACACAGTCCAAAAATCACGCACCTTAAATTTGACCTAAATAGATGCAAAAAGCTAATCTAAATTGTCACCGCACTTTTTTAAATCCTTATTAATCCTCGATGTTGATCTTGGCAAGATCAATGGCTCTCATCTCACCCTATGTTCGCATTTGAACACACACGGATTGATTTTTAAGATTCATGGGTGAAATTGGCAAAAGTTTAATATAAGGATTAAATAAATTATATAATAATCTAGAGTTGTTCTTCTCTTTTTTTTTTTTTTTTTTAAATACATACTACGTATTGAGACTTATTGAAGCACAAAGATTCAATATTTTCACTGAAATTTGAACCTATGACTTATCATTTAGGAGAGTCATAAAGGTGTTTTTGAGTTACAAGCTACTTGACATCTAAAGTTGTTGTATATAATCTGAGAACAACTATAATGTATGTATAACTAATAATTTTCATTAAAATATAATGAGATGTCTGGTTACACAGCGCAACGCAAAGTGGGTCCTCTAGACTTCAATTTCACGTGTACATATACCTTTATAGTTGGCATCAAATTAATTGCTCTACTATATGTTAGGCAATAATATGTTCCATTAAATTAAATTTGTTAATGCATTATTGCATGCATCCATCACATGGATGTATGTGTACACACACACACATATACTTCACCAACGGCTTCTAGTTGAACTCATTAATTTGCATGTCATTTGGAGTTTGTTTTGATGTTGACTATTAACATATATACTCTGCAGCAGTGAAGGATTCTATCAATTAAATAACTCGAGTGATTATGTTATTGACAACTAAGAATATGTTATTCGCTCAATCAAGTATGATAGTTGGTAAATTAAAAATAAAAAAAATCACATTAGAAAGACTTTATGTTACTAGCTAGCTCAATTAAGAGGGACTCGTGATCTTTTAAGGTGTGGGAATCATACTCTATTCACTCGACTACCACTTTCGGAGCGAGTAAATATAATTTTGAGTTCGACAATGACTTGATTGTATATATTGTCACACAATATCACTGTTGCTAGTTAAACACTTTTTGCTCAGATGGCATGTAGCAGTGACCTCTCCCGGCCATGTAGGAGGTCATGAGGTCGAGCCTCTGTTGCTACATGTTATTCACAGATGCTTTTTTATTTAATTAAATATTTTCAAGGTAAGTTCTTCTAAATTAATTTGAATGCAATTATATATAGAGAGACAAAGGATCATATGAGGTCATGTTTCTATATATATAGAGGCACGCTCAAGTGAGAACGGCTGTCCAGGAAAGAGTTAAAAATCAATTGTAGCCGTCCATGTGTCCAGATTTAACAAATCAGATGTAATTTAAAAAAACGATTCGGTGGCATTTTCGTAAATAACTCAAACTTTGGTGCAAGTAAAATGTGTTAAAAGTGCAAGTAACTGATGCAAGTTTGCAAGTAAAATCACTTACAAATACAACCATCTTCACTAAATAGTGCAAGTAATTTACCTTGTTAACATTAGTGCACCTAATGATAATGTCTTTCACATTGGTGCACTTAATGATAACGTTTGGTGCAACTAATGATAACGTTAGGTGCACTTAATATTGATGCCCAGTGTACATTATTTGTTGCACTTTTAATACATTGTACTTGCATTTATGTGCACTATATGAAACTGTTACTTGCACTTTTAACACAATTTACTTACACTTCAATGTCCAATTATTTACAAAAATGTCACTGTATTTTTTTTAAAAAAAAATCAGTATTTCTAATCCGTTAGATCTGGACACGTAGACGTCTGTGAGTGGTTCTTAGTTCTTTCTTGGGCAACCCGTTCTCACCTGAACAACCTCACACACACACACACACATATGCGTGAGAACAAATCGTGTGTATCCATCTAATATTTTTTAATGGTCTAGATTAGATTAAGTGTGTGCGAACGCGAATTAAATATGTGCAAACGCAATTAAGTGTGTCTGCACGCATTTAATTCGCGTTCGCACACACTTAATCTAATCTAGACCATTAAAAAATATTAGATGAATGCACACGATTTGTTCTCATGTTCTCATCTAATTAAGCAAGTGTTCTCATTGGAACCCTACTTTATCTATATATATATATATATATATATATATATATATATATATATATATATATATATATATATATATATATATATATATATATATATATATAGAGAGAGAGAGAGGATCATACTAGAACACTTGTTTAGGTAAGATTGTGATATCAAACTTTGTGCATCAATCTAATTAATTTTAATGGTCTAGATTAAGTGTGTGCGAACGCAATTAAGTGTGTGCAAATGCGATTGATCTAGGTGAGATTGTGAGATCAAATCTTGTGCGTCAATTTAATAAATTTAATGGTCTAGATTGATCTAGATTAAGTGTGTGCGAATGAGATTAAATGTGTGCGAACGTGATTAAGTGTGTGCGAACGCGATTGATCTAGACCATTAAAATTTATTAGATTGATGCACAAGATTTAGTCTGACAATCTCATCTAAATAGGTGTTCTTATAGGAACCCTCGTCTATATATATATATATATATATATATATATATATATATATATATATACACATACTATTATCATACTAATTACACAAAATGCAAATAAGACATAACTCATCACAAAAAAGTTATCAATAAATCTATTAGTAGTTTAGCACCACAAAGTAGTCAAATTATCAAATAAACAATTAAATAAACCAAGAAAGCGGGTGAAAATCTTTAAATATATGAAATGATACTACCCAAAATCACCCATGCTAGCTAACTAACAACAATAATCTTAAAATTAATAATTATGGTCACCCTATAATGCAAAATACACACCCCCAAAAAATTGAACTAAAGATGCATTTGAGGCGCCAAGTAACTTGTAGCTCATCAATGATACCTCTATCTCTCTCAAATGGAAAATCACAGATTGAGAAAATATGTATGAACATATACTACATTATAATAGAATCAGTAGTATTCAAAATATATATATATATATATATATATATATATATATATGCATTCGAGGCACGCACAGCACCTAGCGGGAGGTGTATGCTTTCCAACTTGGCAAAGGATCCAAAAAAAGAAAAATCTTTTAAGAAAACTCTACTAATGGGTTGCCTTAATATATACGGAGTACTAACTTCTAAGCAAGTTCAATAGCTTAAGTTTTTGCTTAGGTTTTTTCATATCCAACAAGGAAAGAGATGAAGGAGGGCGAAGGGAAAAAATGAGATCGCTGTTGATTTATTTCTGATTTTTTTTTTTAATATTGTGAGCGGTCTAAAAAAAATCTCTTTTTTGCAAGAACCATTCTCTCCTCTCTCCTACTTTCTCTATATATTGTAAAAATTTGATAAAAACTTTGCAAAAAACCTCTCATAGGATTGCTATAAGGATAAAAGATGAGTGAGTAAGGTATTAGCTACTAGCTAGGCTGACTGTGAACCTAATCCAAGGAGCTGAGGCTTTAGTGAACTTTGAGCTTAGTGAAAGGAAATGGATCAATTAAGTGGCCCGGGAAGATTGGCTCATGATGAGTAATGCGTGGAGGAAATTAAATTGTCCTATGTAGTGCGCTACAAAGTACGAATGGATATTTTGATAGGATTTCATATCATAATCTTATTATAGTGTGATTTAGTCAGCTCAAGTTTGGAGTTTATATTTATTATAACTAGTATTTTGATAGGATTTCATATCATAATCTTATTATAGTGTGATTTAGTCAGCTCAAGTTTGGAGTTTATATTTATTATAACTAGTATTTGCACCCGTGCGATGCACGGAATGAATTTGTTGTAATATATTAAGAATATTTGAATCGATATATAATTATTTATATTAGAACATCAAATATTATATAGTGGACTTAAAGATATTATTTGAATCGTTTATATATTTTGATGTTATCATTGCTTGAATTCGTGCAAATAATTGCTCAAATTAATAGCTAATGTCTAGATAGATGTACGGATGCGGTCCAAACATTTTCAATGTGGGATAAAAAAGATCCAACATTATTTACAAAGTGGAGCTTGTGGCTCTCTTTTGTCTTCTTCTTATTTTTAGTTTGGAGTTTATATTTATATTTGGAGTTCGAGTTTGGAGTTTATATTTATTATAATGTGAGTACATGCCTAGTAGACAGAAATTTTATTTTTGGTAAAAATAGACTTGTCGTTGTCCACCTATGCATGAAAAAGAACCTGAAGAGTGTAATTGAGTGGAAGAACTCATCCATCCTTAATCAAAGGTCAAAGGTTTGATTTTTGGCTTTGGTAATGAAGCAGCCAATTGTCCCACCCGAAGTGTCAAACTGTGTCCGACAGTGAAAACCCTGAATATACCAAAAAAAAAAAAAAAAAAAAAAAAAAAAAAAAAAAAAACCTATGCATAAAAAACAATGGATCAAAATTATCTATTTATCTAGATGATTAGATTCACTGACCTTGCTAATCCATTTGCCAACTATCCTAATTTACTTAGACCTTGCTAATCCATTTGCCAACTATCCTAATTTACTTAGAGCATCCCTATAAGTAGTTTTTAAGTGATTTTTTGTGGAGCCAAGCATGATGTGAAAGAGACCAGAGGCATTATATTGATTTTTTTGTTGACCCATTAAAATATAAAAAAAAAAATTAAAAAGCAGTCGTTCTAGTGCGTGTCAGGCACATAAAAGCGTCCAACCGAACGCGTGCACTCCACGCGCCGTAAACAACTTACAATTTTTTTTATTTCTACTTTGTAGTGTCAGTTTTTTTTTTTATTCTATTTTTCCTCTTCCCCTCATTCTCTTTTCTATTTGGCAGCAATAAAATCTAGACTAATGAGATTGGTCTTAGGTTAATAAAACTTATATTGAAATTAATACTTGCACGTACTTACATTGATCATATATCAATGTACAAAAAATTTTAAAAAATAATATAATAAAGACAACTTTTATGCATGGTTCCCCATTTTTAATATAATAAAGACAACTTTTATGCATGGTTCCCAAATAGGAGAAACTAGCTAGGTTGGTTGCCTTCTTCTCCGGGTTATCCGCTATAGAAGCATGCGGTCGCCATGATTGGTTTTTAAATTTTTATGATCCCGTTCTAAATGAGACCCTACTAAATGCGCAATCTTTAAAATTAATACCGTAATTTTAATAATAATAATAATAATAATAATAATAATAATAATAATAATAATAATAATAATAATAATAATAATAGTAACAATCATAACAATAGTAACAATAAGAAGAAGAAGAAGAAGGAGGAGGTGGTAAATGTTTCTGTGCTAAAAAAAATGATAAAAAAATAAAAGATGTGTGCAAAGTTGGAGCAGATAGGGTTTGAACCTAGACCTCCAAATAAAATCTTATAAAAATACATTTCTACTATTTTTCTATAATCTTTTAAAATTAATTGCAATTTTATTTTTTTAATGACTTAACTAATTAAGTAAAAATTAAATATTGGGCGTTCTAAAATTTGAGGTCATGTGACAGCTCCACGGCATCGAGTAATGGAGCTGCAACCTCGGTTATAGACTCCGTTTTGGGTTTCGGCGGCCGGCAGTTTTTGTCGTTGACACGGTCGCAAGGAAACACTAACGCCATCTCAAGGCCGGTATCTATTTTCTCTCCGCCGGCGTCACAAACAGGCCAGCAAACAATCGCCTCTTACGTTCGCCATTATTGTCAAAGGTGATATATGGCCGTCTGATCTTGAAAACTATTTTGTTTAATTTAATTATTTCAATTCGCAGATGATATCTGTCTTTAATAATTATTGTTTGTTTCTCTCTGTATGTATCTATATAATTAAGTAGGTATGTACGTGCAGTAATGTTAGGTCCAACTTGTATTTATATAGATCTTTATCTGGTGTTTTTCCATGATCAGATTTGCTCAAATTAAATTAATAGTTGCATTTAAAGCTTTGGTTGTTGCTGCGAAAGTAGAGGGGAAACAGTACACACATAGATTTCAGTGGTACAAATGTGTAAATGCTTTGTGCTAGCCTAAAAATAGCCTTTGAATGTTATATATATAATTTTATATTAATGGTGAACCTGTCATTGATGAAGAGACATTACATATATTGACAGTGGAGCTTTTCACAAGTTAAACGTGCAAATTAATCACAGTCTTTAATCTTGTCATCAAAATCAAAAACCTAGAATGAAGAACAATAGAAAAATACGGTAGCATTATGGTTATTTTGCGTAAGGTCACAGCTTAAGGTACGTAAGTTTAAAGTTTAAGGTGTGTAATTAAGTTTATAGGTTAAGGTGCGTAAGTTTATATCGTTTGGTGCCTAAGTTTAAAGATTAAGGTTCTTAAATCTAAAACTTAATGTGCTCAAATCTAAAAGTTAAGGTGCTTAATCTAAAACTTAAGGTGCGTAAGTTTATAGCTTAAGATGCGTAAGTTTACAGCTTAATGTGTGTATGTTTAAAGCTTAAGGTGCATCAGTTTAACTCTTAAGGTGGGTATGCTTAAAGTTTAATATGCATTATTTTCCAGCTTAAGGTGCATAAGTTCGAAGCTTAAGGTGCATAAGTTTATAGCTTTAGGTGTCTATGTTTAAAGCTTAAGGTGCGTAAGTTTATAGCTTTAGGTGCCTACGTTTAAAGCTTAAGGTGCTTAAGTTTAAAGCTTAATGTGCTTAAATTTAAAGCTTAAGGTGTGTAAGTTTATAGCTTAAGGTGCATAAGTTTATAGCTTAAGGTGTGTACGTTTAAATCTTAAGGTGCGTCACTTTCAAGTTCAAGGTGCATCAGTTTAACTCATAAGATGCATATGTTTAAAGCTTAAGGTGCATTATTTTCCAGCTTAAGGTACATAAGTTCGAAGCTTAAGGTGCGTCAGTTTGAAACACTTGATCATTTGCATCAATGTTATCATGAAGCGCGTTTCTTTTTTAAATTTTCCTTCAGTTTGAGCCGTTGGTCTACATTAGATCAATGACTCAAATCTCACTCCATTTATCACCTGGAGAAGCATCGCACGTGAATCATCCCATATATATATATGATCGCGTTCAAATGAGAACGATGCGCCCAGAAGAGAACTCAGAACACATGACATCTGTCCACGTGTCCAGATCTAACAGATGAGAAACACTGATTTTTTTTTTTAAAAACGCGATGACATTTTCATAAATAATTGAATATCAAAGTGCAAGTAAAATATATTACAAGTGCAAATAGCAGTTTCATATAGTGTACATAAGTGCATGTAAAATCTATTACAAGTGCATGTAAAATGTATTACAGGTGCAAGTAAAATTTACACTGATATAAATACTAAGTGAACCTATTATTATAACTAGGTACACCTAATTAACGTTATAATTAGTTGCACCTAGGTGCACGAATGTTAACAATGTAAATTACTTGCACTTGTAAGTGAAAATACTTGTATTTGTAAGTGATTGTACTTGCACTTTTTTACTTGCAAAGATGTACTAGTTACTTACACTTATAACACATTTACTTGCACCAAAGTCAGGGACGGAGCCAGAAATTCGGTTGAGGGGGGCGAAGAAGTAGGGACGGATTCAGAAAAATTTATCAGTAAAGGCGAAACATTAAAACAAAAGAGATCATTTTTAAAAAAAATTACCTAAAAAATATAGTTGTAAATATTGTTGGATATGGGCGAAAAATAAAACACATCGAAATTTTATAAAAATATTTGAATAGAAAATACATTATCAATTACAAACTACGTTGATGCAAAAAGATTCAAACCCTTGACCTTTACTATTGCCAAACATATAATCTGCCAACTAATCTAACTCATTTCTTGTTAACATTTAATAGTTTTTTTATACTAATACTAAAACTTGTACTATATATACATATATATACATACAAAGATTACATATGGGGTGGGGTGAGGGGGGCAGCTGCCCCCCTGCCCCCTTTGGCCCCATTATCCCTTACCAAAGTTCGAATTATTTACGAAAATGCACTACTGAAAATTATGAAATTTCCGACCACCTGAAAGTGATCTTAAATCAAGTCGAAAGCCTTGTTCTGACCACTTTTGGTATCTGAAAAAATATTTGTTGCTATTTCCGACCACTTTTTGGTATCAACTTGATTTAAGATCACTTTTAGGTGGTCAGAAATTCCATAATTTCCAGTAGTGATGTCGCAACGTCATTGTTTTTAAAATTACTTCTGATTCGTTAATCTGGAGA